TATTAAAATATAGGAAAGACATGTACAGGCAGGAAATAACTGAAGGTTTAGTATTTTAATGGTACCTTGCAATAGTGTATTTGCCATCAACCCATTCACCTAACAAACCCTTGGAAAAATGCATGGCACCCATTTGTGTATTTCACTTGATATTTTTTTTCTTTTCCAAGAGTGACTTTTTTTCAAGACTTAAAAAATATTAATAATAACACTAAGATATTGTTTTATTATCCTGAGATATCTTTAAAACACATACAAGTAAGGTACTGTAAAAACCTTCAAATACTTAAGATTTAATGGAGGTCAGCGAGCCATTAAAAGCTTGAGAAGAGCAGAACATTGTGTCACTGAGGTTCTGTATCTTTCAGCAGAATGCTTTAAGTGGTTCCTATAGACAGTTTTAGGTCAAGGTTGACTCAGTCATCACCAAGTCTAAAGTGATTGCTATGGGGCAGGCAGTCCTCTTGGTCACAAGATAATTAAGTTCTAAAAGGCCAGAAATACAGAAGTATTCACTCTGAAAGAAGTTTCACCATGAAAATAATCTTTATTGCTTCTTGCTAAAGTAACAAAAGAAAGCAGAACTTACTGTAGATTCGCATTTGTTTTTCCTCTTGAAACCATATAAAATGATACAGTGCTCTGAAAATCATCATACTGTATGTTTAACTGAACATTTTCTTATTTTAACCTTCTTAACAGCTGTCAATGTTACAGTCACTGAAAAGCATGTGTTGCCATAATTACATGCTGCGTCCAACTGGTTTGGGGCTTTATTTTTCGTTACAATAACTACAGTAAAAAAAACAAGAAGTTGGTGCATTAGTGCAAGACAGGGATCGTTATTTTTTAGCATGGCTCATAGTCATGAAAACGTACAAAATTGAATAAATGCAGTTAGCAGTATTGAGTATAAAACCGGACTCACTATATTCAGTCATGACCTTTTTAGTGATTAAGGCAAAGAAGAAATCATTTTTGAACAAAGTGAATTAAAATATGTTGTTGTTTTAATGCAATGTTCCTTTTAGGCAAATAAAGATCTTACCTTGATCTTCCTTTATTACATTGCAAGTTATTTTGGATAGTTCAGCTCAAAAGTGCATTACCTTGATACCTAAATATTAACATATGTGTGGCAGTGTGGTGCAGTGGTAAGCATTGCTGCCTTGCAACCCTGAGAATGTGGGCTCAATTCCAGACCTTGGGTGCTATCTGTGTGGAGTTTGCATGTTTGTCTGGGTTTCTTCTGGGTGCTCCAGTTTCCTCCCACAATCCAAAAACCCAGCAAAATGGATGGCTGGGTGTTAAAGTATGAAGTGCTTTCAAGTTTATAATGCTGTGCACAACTGGCATGTATTGCTCCTGTAAGTAATGTAATTGTGTTTTTGGACTTTTTTTCATTTTTCTATTTTTATATTTCTCAGCTTCAGTAGCTGAGCAATTTCCTTAGCAGCCTGCTTCATCTTTCTTTTACAGTCTACTACACCAAGCATAAAACAGACAGCTTTCTTTTTAAAGGAGAACACGGTCAGCTCAGGCGGATATTATGCATGAATATGTTTAAACATCTACAGTATGTCTGCCTTTTTAAAAATGAAAGAAAATAAAAGTTAATAGCTCAAATGCCTGAATGGGTAATTACAAAGGTCCAATAACTGACAATACTATTTTTTTCCTTGTCATATGAAATACCTTCTGTTATTCTCTAAAATTCCAGTGACTGCATGCAGTATTAACTGCTGTCAGGTTATCTGTTCTCCTCAATATCTGGAATTGTTGCAAGCGGTTCTATTGGTTAAAGCACAGCAAATTCAACATTTCATCAAAAATAAGAAGAAAGATATTTTCCGATGCTAAGCTAAGGAAAAATTAGAAGAAAGATATTTTCCGATGCTAAGCTAAGAAAATTTTAATATCTCCATTTCTAATACTTTGTTAAAATGGTAAGAAGTCCCATGCCAGGTGTTGTTCCACATGTGTTACATTGCATCATATTATTCATATTTACAGTAACTTAGACTTGGCTTTCAAGAGTTGCCTACTGTATTATAAGGTGTTATCAGTAAAAAATCTGTGGAACACATATTATGAATTCCTGCCTTGAACTGTTTTACAAAAGTAATTGCAGGCAAGTTTATACAGTATATTCTATTTTGAAAGCCTGCACCAGAGAAGTGGATTATAAAGGGCTCGAAAGATCTTTTTGAATACTCATTAATCTTACTACATCAGCCCTTCCACAGTCATCTGACACCACTGAGTTATATGAAAACCTATGAAACTATGACTAAGAAATAATAAGATTAATTTCATTTCTGACTGTTTTGGCAGTGGTGGCAAAAACACAACAGTTCTAATCCTGCAATAATAGTATCTAGTAAAACCATTTCTAGGAGGAATATAGTATGAATTAGATAGAAAACAATATGGTTAAAGATGTTATAGACTCATCTGTAATTAGCTTTACATTCCAATACTAATCTGCCAGCTGCTGAACTCATGTTCTTGTGAGTTTTTTTTTTCATACTGAACTACTGGCATCTGGTTAATTGTGAGATAGGTGAGGCATATCTGCAAGCGTGATTTCCTGGGTATATTAGATCCATGTGTTCAATGGATGTTCAAGTAAAATAAACATGATTTAAGTAAAATACAGGATAGTTATTGACTGCTCATTTTCTTTAGCCTTTGGTCAACTATACATGGCTGGTATGTCTTGTACAATAGCACCCTTTGGTATTTTACTATTCCTCAAGCAAAACTAAAAATGTGAATAAATGAAAGAGTATGAAGCAGGTAAGAGAAGTATTGCTTTCACTTGATGCAAATCTAATCTTAAATATGGTCAACAACTGGCAAAACTCCTTAATACAATCTATAGTTTCCCAACTCTGAGTAGTCTTATGTTTATATTATTAATCTTTTTGTTCATGTTAAAGCAATGATTAGTTGATTAAATTCTAATCGAGACTCTGAGATATCAAATATAAAGGAATTGCATATTTAATAATTTAATGTTTGGCGCTAAGGCAATGACAGGTTTGGCCATAAGGTTGAATCTGCCAAAACCCTCTCACGTGTGAGGAAGAAACTATGGAGGCAGCTGCAAGGGTGATGATGGGGTGGAGGGAGGGTGTAAGAAAAGATGCACACAAACAAGCAGTTAAAATATTTGTGCAAAAGAGAGAGGAAGTGCAAAATCACAATTTGATCTCCTCCAGAGCATTAGTATAACAACTCCTCCATATGTGGGAAGTTCATCTTTTTATTTTTTTTTCACAATAGGCAAAATCTACAGTATTGAATTAACCAGAATTGTGTTTTAAGACTGTACATAAACTGTACTTAAAGGCTATATTTTTAGTTCTTGCAGGTCATCTTGTGATGGTCCGAATTAGTGTGGTTGCTTAGTGTTCTACTACATTTACAGTAGTTTTTTATCAAAGTTGCCTTGGCTGAATTGTCATCTCCAAATAGAAAATATTGGAAGCTGAGTCTCACTACTTGGTCTTCTATTCCATAATCCACGATGTCCCAAGTATTTATTCCAGTTATCATCTTAATCTTTTATAGACGTTCCCTCTAAATAGTAATTCCAGTATGCTAATTTGTATGGATGATAGTGATGCTGTTTGTCTTGACCTTTCTGAGGATGTGGAATTATTCTGGATATTACGATAACTTTTAAATTCCTAGATATTTACCTTCTGCTCTTCATCTGGACCAGAGACAACACCATCCCACACTGCACTGATGATCCTAGTTCAAAAAGCTTACAAACCAATGCTGTGTGTGCTAAATGAGAAGCAGGCTGAATTATCCAAGCAACTTCAGTGTAAAACCTCAGAATTCATCACAGCTCATGGTCCTTAATGCACATTAATTTGGTGTGATAGGAGCTGATTTCCTAACAATTTATCATAATCATATTACTTTTGTCCAATTGAAAATTAATTGAGAATTAAACCTGGTGCTACAGTACCCTTAAGGCCTCTAATACATGACTTACCTCTGCTTCAAATTTGATTATTTATGATTTGAAAAATATTATAATTTTACATGTCTCCCAGACATCCTGCTTCAGTAAAAGCAGATTGTATCCCTGACAACTGAAAGAAGGAAGACATTCCAGTCACCTGGATAATTCAGAAGCCTTGACAACAGAGTCACTGATGTAATGTTGCTCATACTCCAAGCCATTTTGTTGCATTCCTGGGAGATATGGATTTGCATATTTCACAACTTCTTCATAGCCAGTTTTTGGAATGTGAAACATTGTTGTACTCTAACACATTGGATCTTATTTCTACTAAGGCGCCTGATACATTAATAATTTTTCTAACATTATCTTAAAGTATGTCTAGATGAGAGTATAGTTAAATGATAAAATCCTAATCAAATTGGTTGTTAAAATACTTTTACAGTACAACGATAGTATAGTACATGTAGTCACTAATGCATAAAAGACAAATAATGGTACTCAAGTACTCATTCACTGACCTGAATATTGAAGTACATATTTGCTGCTTTGTTAACTAGGGCTCCTGGCATCCCCATAGTTTCTTTAGTGTTAATTATTAATCAGCTTTACCTTTAATAACCTTCTATCACTGCTTTAACTAATTTGGTTCCTTGGTCTGAGTGCCTTAAAAGATATGATCTATTTTGAAACACAACTTTTTTTTGTTCACTGTCTAAATTCCTTGAAATTTCCACATGTCGTGAATTCAGTTATGCACAAGGGCTTAAATAATGCATTTGATCTGGAAATTGGACTCCGAACCTCTTCATTTTCACATGTCTAAAGACAAGAGCAAAAGCTGCTATGCACTTCTTTCCTCAAAGTTAAAACAGGATTTTTTTTTGGTTTAATAGTAATTAAAGCAGCCAAATAATTCATTTTTGAGTAGGCTTTTATACATATCCACTAAACCTAACCAACATTACATAGGTGGTGTACAGTAAATGTTATGACTCGAGTTACTATTTTTTTACAGTCGTCTTTGAAAGGAGAAAATATCACAGTGTTTGGTTGTCTCAACCATGGCATGCCTCTGTCATTATCAGACAACTCAACAGTGAAATGTGAATCAGGTAAGACATTCATTTATTATTTATACAATGATACAACTTCAGCTTTCACAGCTAACATGCTGTATTTTCTAATCTGAAAATGGAACCATTTACTGTATCTAGGTACAGTATACCCTATATTAATACTTAATATTATTACTGTATTTTTTTTCTGATGTTGTTGTTATATCTTGTCATCAATCTGCCTTCCTTATGCCAATTCATTGCCCTGTTTCTCACTCTCCACTGGCTTCCCATCCCTGTACCATCTCTGTACTATCCAGTTCAGGTGGTTCTGGGTTACCACTCTCTTCACTGCTCTGATGCCTCCACCCCTTTTCTACTTTCATTCTCTCCTTATACCAGACACTCAGGAGGATGTTATACCTACTGTAGATCCAGCTACTAATAACCCAAAGCTCTGCAGTCTCTCACAGAAGCTTCCAATGCTTCCTCAAAACACCCAGGTTCAGCCAAAACCTGTTGCCTAAGATCTGTGAAAGACCTTGCTACTATTAGCAATTGTATGGCTGCAATACCATTACTTTTCTTTGTATTTCCAGTATACTTCTGTATCATTACACAACTTTCTACTGGTGTTAAACTCCCTTTATTTTATTTTTCTCTGCCACTACATAAACTCCTATTCTGCATCATGTACAGTGCCTTGCGAAAGTATTCGGCCCCCTTG